GGCAGTGGCGCTTGACGCACCTCTCTTCTCCCTTCCCGGTCAGAAGGTGCTGCTTGTTCACCGCTCCTTGAAGACTTACTCATCGCCGAAGCAGCCCTGAGTAAACCCCGTGTCCCTGCCTGATAGGTGACTCTTCCCCGGGAAGCCGGTTGTCAGAAATGGAGCGGTGGTTGTGACTTGCTTCTCGAGGTGCTCACGGCTCTTTCAGCAATGAGCCAGCTTCGCCTGTCGGCTCTTAGGTTGGATTTTGCGTGTGAAAGTAGAGATTCCCAGGGAACTGAAATACTTGGCAAGCGCTTCTTCGCTCTGGAAAAGGTTCTAGTCAAAGCAAAAAGGAATGCAAAGGCTGTCATCTGTCCATTTGTTACTCTGTGTACAGACCTCAGCTGTACTGTGCAAGCAGAGAGAGATTAGATTAATCCAGCCTGCTTATTTAAGAATAAAGGCTGTGTTTTGGACTAACATAGTGGTAGAATTTAATAAATTATTATTATTCTTTAAACAATAAAACACTAAACACGGTGTTAGATTGAAGGAATAACAAAGCAAGTACACAAGTCTCATGAGAGAGAAACACAGGGCATGGCTCTTATCAAAGTGGTAGGTCTCGCAGAGCAACTCGATGTCAACAACTAATGGCAATAGATTAACTGTTAGCATAACTAATATTTGTGACTGACGGCAGAAAGTGAGGGAACTTGCTCCGTGGTTGTAAAGATTCCCTCATGCAGCTGGTTCAGCTATATAGCTATATATATAGCCGTATACATAACTGTATAACAGCTATGTATAATCCTGTTATGTATAGACTTGTTCCGGATAGCTGAATTCAAGTAATGTTTGTGGCAAATGAAACTGTCCATTTTTAAGTGTTACTCTCTTTTTCTAATATTAGTCTTTAGAAATATTATTTGGAGGCTTCTGTCATCTGCTACTTTCACTTCCGTAGCTGTGGAAGTACTTAACTTACAAAATGCAGATCTAATTGTTTACATATAGATTTTAATAATAATGATGAGTGAGTTTCAGATGTGGCTGCCAACTGTGTGAGGACAAAAGAAGTTGTACC